GCAAACATCAGAATAACAGAAAACGGATCAAAAATATTGCAGTACATACATACTGTAAAAGCAGCATTAATATTTGTCCACGTTCTGGCTGGCAGCACAGCTGAGTTTGCACACTCCCAAACAACCCTGCAGAAACGCAAACAAATAGCCAGTGTCTTCTGTCCCCTTGTCCCTACCCTAAAACGCCTGCGATGGGTGTGTCTGTGCTCAGAGTCTCACCCTAGACCAGGGAAGCCCAGACAGACATGATCTGTCTCAGTTTAGTGATTCTTGCACGTTAGTAGGAACTGTTTGCTTTTGCACCACTCCTACTGAAACTCAGCCCCTACTTCTTGGTGGTGGAATGCCAGAACTTAATTAGGTGATGTGGAAGACTCAGAAGTTGCACTGAAATGCTTAAATCTGATTTCTTCTGTTAAGCTGTGTGGACCCAGGCCTAAAGCATGAACCATGTCAATTACTACCTCTTCCTCTGCTGAACACCTCTTGTTTAAGGTGCTGCACTTTTCTCCTCTAAAAAGGTCGATTAATGTGGTTAATGTAAAGCTATCATGTCTCACCATTTAGCTTTAGGATTACATTATAGATTTAGAATTTCCACTGCTTGTAATTTACTTCAGCCCCGTCTGAATTGCAGCATGTATCCAGCTACTGTTCATGGTCGGTAAGCCTGCTCGCGCAGTGCTATATGGTCATTTGAGTGTTCTGGTGTTGCAGCTCATTAGTAAATTCCTGTGATCAGTGAGAGGAGCAGCTTCCCAAGTATTTACCAGCCTTTCAGTTGAGCCTGTAGCTTTAATAACAAAAGTTTGAAAGCCTTTCAATTTTGTTTTAAGCAAGTTTTGAGGTTATTTGGAAATGGGTAACTTTCCAGCTGGTTTGGAGAACTACATGATATTATATAGCATTTTTACTGTGGAGGAAGTTTTCAAAACAAACATTTCCGTTATACCATTTGGAGAAGGCTTGCCTTTGTCTTTTGGATCACTTAGGTAAAAATAACTCCATAGAGAAAACAGTTTCTTCTTCTTGTTGAGCTCCGTCATAGAAATGATTACCAATATTGGCAGCTTGCGGGTCTTTCAGATTCCTGTCACTTTTAGTGGTTATGTCCATACTTGTTCTTTTAACAGGAACTCTGCATTGCTAAGAAGTGCTCTGCAAAAATTTAGATGTACATCTGCTTAGATGTACATTCTTTTCGGATATGTCTTTATGATTGTATGTGAATATTTATTATATGTGTAATATCTTCTACCTCTTAAAGTATAGGAAGAACAATAAAAGTTTAGTGTGGGATTCAAATATATATTTAATTCATGAAAATCATCTTATATGTTTTAAAACTCTATTCAAGCTAATCCTAGAAAAGCGCTTATGGTAGGTAAATTACACGTTTTACTACTTGAGCATTAGAAATGCCATTAGTACAAATTTAAAGGACTGCAAAACCCAGTAGATAATGCTAATTTCAAATACAGAAACTGAATATATTTTGTACATTTTTATTACTTGATTTCTTTTTTATTTTATTGACTACTTTTTATTTTAACTATATGTTCTTACATGCTGCAATCATAATGTAGTGTAATGATATTAATATTTTATAGAATCTGTATTTATAGTTCTTTATTTAGAAACAATGCAGTAGGTCTGCAGATCTTTGAATCCTTCTGGAATGGTGCCCTCCAAATAATGATAAATTACTTGTGCAGTATGCCATTTGCTAATTATATCCATGATTTACTGCAGAGCAAGACTTAAATCATTCATTTCAGTCTTGCGTAACAGTGCCATAAAATTTTTAGGTTTAAAAATGGTTTCCATGTGTATAATTTAAACAAATTTTAGAGCAATTGTATACACAAAATATTGCAACCATCCATTTGTTACATTCTTTGTCTCTCTTTTTTTAAAACTTGTACTTTTAATGATTACTTGGTTGAAATTGTTATGCTTCATTTTCATAATCATAGCTTTTAATTCTACAACAGTTTTCTACATGTTAGATTAAGAAAAAGATGGCTAATTGTGTGTAGATACCATGTCATTCCTGAATAGCCCCACATTCTGGAAACCCATTTTGGAAATACTCAGTTTATGAATTAGTCTTCAATTAATGGCATTTGTTTTTTAAAAATGAATTATTAGCTCTAAGATCATCTTGTTTTCAAGCAGCTAAAGTTCATTTTTTATTTTCTTCACTCATCCGTACACCAAAGTACAGTTAACTCCCTTTCTTTATATTTTTCTCTTTATCCATACCTATAGGTGAGAAGCCTTACAAGTGTCCGCATTGTGATTATGCTGGTACTCAGTCTGCGTCCCTCAAATACCACTTGGAACGACACCATCGGGAGCGACAGAATGGAGCAGGACCACTCTCTGGACAGACTGCAAGTCAAGAACACAAAGATGAGACATCAAGTAAAAGTTCTGTGTTTATTAGACCAGATATATTGAGAGGAGCCTTCAAGGGGCTTCCTGGTATTGATTTCCGAAGTGGCATGGTCTCGCAGCAGTGGACGTCAGGAATGCTGTCTTCTGGAGATCAGCAAGGACAAGCAGCTGGCATGTCATCTGAAGTATCTTCAGATAATATGAAGGGTTCAGACATATCTTCCAAAGGAACACACTTCTCTGAACTTGGCCGTGCTTATCAGAACATGGTTGGGAATGGTGTGAACTTTCAAGGGTCTTTGCAGGCTTTCATGGACAGCTTTGTCCTAAGTTCTTTGAAGAAAGAAAAAGAAATGAAGGATAAAGCTCTCTCAGATCCACTTTCAGCAAAAGCTCTGGGCTCAGATGGTGGCGAGGAAAAGATAAATAGCAAGTCCTCACAGCGAAAAACAGAAAAGTCGCAATATGAACCTCTTGACTTATCCGTAAGGCCGGATGCAGCCTCCCTCCCAGGTTCATCTGTTACTGTGCAAGACAATATTGCTTGGCACGGCTGCTTATTTTGTTCCTTTACAACTTCATCTATGGAACTAATGGCTCTGCACCTCCAGGCCAATCATTTGGGCAAGGCTAAACGTAAAGACATCATAGGGAACAACAAAGACCAATCTAGAGAAGCTTCAGCCTCAGTTAATAAAGTGAGCTTGCTCCCCTCTTCTGTGCAGTCCAGCAAGGAGGCTGTGGTTTCAAACATGCTGAGCCAGCTCGACTCAGCTTCTGAGAAAATGACCCAAGGACAAAATAAAGAGACCCTGGGAGAGCAAAAAAGCACTGCCTGGCCCAGCCACATGGAATCCACTTTTTGTAATTTTACAACAGACTTCTATAAGCAGTTTGGTGTTTATCCTGGTGTTATTGGCACAGGAACACAAAATTCTTGCACCAGTAGTGAATCTGAAATAAAAACACAATCCGAAGATGACCCTAATATTCTGCTCTCTGACTCTGTAAATAAAAGTGCTACTGATGACCTTTCTGACATAGCTTCATCTGAGGATATGGAATCTTCTAAGGAAGAAAACATTGAAGATGAGGACATTGACACAGAACCAGATATTATGAATAAGCAGTTGTCTGCCCTAAATAAAGAAAGCAGCGAAGGAGGCGACAATATACAAAGTGTAGTCACCTCACAACCAACACAAGGGCTCGTATCATCACTGCCACAAGCGTCAGAAAAGCAGTGGCACAGTCAGAATCTTCTATCCTCCCATGAAACTGCACAAGGAGTGATGAAACCCGAACAAGTTCAGGGTCCCCAGGTCCTGGAGAAGCAGATGAACATGTTGTCAGTCCTAAGAGCTTACAGCTCTGATGGCTTAGCAGCCTTTAATGGACTTGCAAGTAGCACAGCAACTAGTGGATGTATCAAGAGACCTGACTTGTGTGGTAAGTTTTAGACCTTCTTTTAGACCATTTCAGAAAACACTTGTGCAGAATCATGAAGCTGCTCTTTAAATATACTTAGACATGTTTGTTAGTAATACATTTTTTTAAATGTTAAACCTTGTGGGCCAAATTCTAGTCTTATATGTGGTCTACTCCATTGAAATCAGCAGTGCTGCATGCCTATACTTATACAGGATTTTAGAAAGAACTTGCTTTTTAAACTAGAGTAGCAGCAATATAGACTATCTGTGCTAGTGGCATCTGAAGGGGATACCTACTGCTTTAGCATACTCAAAGGAGGAAAAAGTTTTAAAAAATTTACATGGTAACTTGCAAACTTTTCAGTATTTTGATATAAGAAAGAACCCAAGAAAAACACTGGATGCTTTGCCAAGCAAACCTTGCTTTCTCTCTCTTCGCCCCCACCTCCCCTTTCTTTGAATTGGGGTGTGTTCAATTACCACAATATTAATGAAATCAAAGGCCAAGTGCATGGAATGCATCTACCTGTGGTGAAAAGCATTTTTTTTTCCTTTTTCTTTCCCTCCCCTTTTTTTAAATTATATTTTTCTGGTTTGTTTCAGTGGCACTCATACAGTAGTTGCCCTTGACCGTTTTCACTATTCTAACTAGTGGTTGTACTAATTGTGATTTTCTAATTAAGAATATGCTGCCAGGTAATTAAAAAAACAACAATACACCAAACAAACAAAACCAACTTTAGCCTTATTAGCCTCTGATTTACAAAACTGCAATTTTACTTCCTCATATCACACACATCATATTTGACAAAAATGAAAGTTATCTATTTGGAACAAATAAGAATGAGGATTTTTTCGATTTATGTCCTGTTTTGTCAGCATAGTTCTTGTTTGAAAGAAATTTTAGAGTGTAAATCCTTTGAAAAACTATATCACTTTAAAAAGCGGAGTCAGCAAAGGACACAAAAACTTCAGTAATGCTCATTTCACTTAACCTTCAAACTAATCAGAAAACTCATTGTCAGAGCTGAACATTCATAATAAAATGTATTCAACTTAAAAAAAGAAAAGAAAATGTGATCAACAGTTATAAAGCCTGACAATGTAAAATGAAACCCTAAATCTGCAAACACTTAAGAGTGGTTACCCTGGTTAACTTAAGGTTAGTGGGAGCTTTGTTTGACTTTACTAGGATAGTATATGTGCTTAAAGCCATAACCCCTTCTTCAGGCCCCTCTCTGCTTTTCCAAGTGTATTACTTGGTCTGATAAAAAAGTCTGATTTCTTCTCACAAAGTTTATCCCACTTGTATTCTTAGAGCATTTTGGCTTTACAATATTGTCCTTACTTAAACTGAATCACGAGCCCAAGTATCTGCATGGCCTTACTTGTAAACTTCTGTTTCTCAGTGCACTAAGAACCAATTCAGATAGTTGGAATTATTTCCAGATTCTTCAAAATCAGCAGTTACACTACTGATATTTTGAAATTAGTTGATAGTTGATATAATTTGCATCTGGTGAAATCCTACTTGGATTTTTTTTTCTTTCTATTTGTGGAGTACAATCAATCAGTTACAAAAAAAAATACAGCAGAGAAATCACTCTAAACAAACAAGTAAAATAAATTGGAAAACTAAGATTAGTTATGAAATATCTTTATACTTCTTCCCAGACATAAGATTTTTAAAACAACAACAACAAACTCCCCTCTAACATTATTATTGAAATGAGGTCATGTTACTTCCATGAATTTTTTTGTTTCATCTTCCAATCAATTCAACAGACATTTTATGATGGCTTGAGTTTATATGATTTTAAAGACCATATCCCTTTCACAAGCTCTGCCCAGTGATAATGGATTTGACTTGAAGTATGAAGGAAAAAAAACCCAAAACGATCAGAAGCATGTCTGTTCTACTTTTTAAGCCATTTTTAAATGGATAATGCGTGCAAGTCCTCCTTTCTCCCCCCTCCAAAAGTAGCTTTTTAAAATTCTTTGCAGACATTCTATTGAGTGTTTGCAGAATGTAAGTATTAAGGTTGACTACTTAAATATATTATTTCATTTTTCTCAATATCTCACAGTGAAAGTGGATGACTATGAATATGCCCTGTGTCAGTAGTTCTTTTTTTATTTGGTTGGCTTGGACACTGCCCACTTGAAAGTAGTGGGTTTTTTGAGTTTTCATTTTCTCAGTGACATTTTACACTGTGAAATCGCACTCCATCTGTGCATGCTAGTGTGGGGAATCTCACCTGATGTTTCTGCACTTGCAGATTAGCCATCAGGAGCACCCTCTTCATTTATTAGCCTTCCTTCCCTCTTGCACAAAGCCGATGACCTTAGTCGTGGTTCCCTTTGTCTCTCCTACTGCGTGAGCGATCAGAAGACTTGAGACCCACCTCCAGCGCCCGATTCCAGGGCATGATTCTTGTGTTCCTTTGTATTTTGGGAGACTCTGTGCATTTGCCTTTTTATAGCCAACGATGTGTGAGTTGTTGACATGTCAAGAGAGAACACTGATGCACTTGATACTGTCCTTATACAATCAAGACAACAAGGTGTGGTGCTCTTTCCACAGGCAGAATACAGTGGAAATAAAACTGAAATAAAATATCTCAGCCTCAGTTAGCCGAGATTGCATCTTTGATTGGCCATGCTAATTGAGTTAAATTTCTGGCTGCATAAAAACAAGCTGGGATTTTCAGTGATCCATGTGGATCATTTTTAGTTGGCAGATTTTACGTTAAGATAATGGGTCAGTTTTTAAGCACAAATCTTGGCACAAAAAGGGTTTCATTTTTAGAGGAGAATGCCGCCAACTCACATTGTTGTTTTGGAAAGTCACCACACATGGGGGAAACAATCCTCAGTTTCCCTATATGTAGAATGAGAGAGACTGATGATGTACAAATAATTCATTTATGCTCCTATCATGCTTCAGGCTGTAGGGATAAAAGACACAATTAGGAAAGAACCATCATTACTGCATAATACAGAAATTTCCGTGTCAAAGTGCTGCTGAGAAAAAGCACAAATTTTTGTAACGTTTCTCTTTTACATATATAGCAGAATAGGAAAGAACAGAAAGAACAAAAAAAATTCATGAATTTAGAGTTACTCCTGACCTGTACTTGTTTTTGGAGTGTCAAGGGACTATACCTAGGAGCCGATCTTGTTAATCTTTGCTACCACATGATTTCTAAGAAGAAGACATGCCTTTCCTTGCTGCTTGGCAGCCAGTAGCCCAGCGTGGAGCAGAAGCCCAGGGTGATGGCTCCATGGCTTGGTAGCTGTCTTGAGCATCTATATACTCTGCTTTCACAGCCCTTGCTCATTCGAGAAGTTACGCTCGGCGGTTCTAAGCCTACTTTGTGTTTAGGTTTTGGAAGATCTGTTTTCCTTTCCATTTATGCTCTTCTCTTTCTCTGCTTGTCTTCCCATATACATGTAGTTTTATCATGATAATGTTCTACCTCCTGTTCCAAATCGTTAATTTACACGATTTGCACAGCATCTATTTGTGACAAGACCCTTTCCTTTCTCTCTCTCCTCCCCTTTAAATCTTTCTGATTTGTGTCATAAGACAGTAAAATTTCCCTACTCGGATTTTCTGCTTGGGAAGTAGGTAGGCTTTCAAAGAAAAGCTGGTGGACTACAGAACTACTGGCCAGAGAGAGTCCTGGGCGTTAGCTGGTTGCTTAATGGGTTAGTGCTATTGAACCCACACTTAATGATGTCCAAAAGTATTAGTTCCATGTTGTCTCTATAAATCTAATTTGCTTCCATTCATGCTTGCTTTCCTCTGCAATTAGCGCTGTTTTCTCCTGCAAAGGCTCCACCCCATTATCACTTCTTTCACTGTATGAAAACAGGGCAGGGCCCTTCTGATGCATGGTAGCAGCTTTGGAGTTCTGATCCTGCACAGGGCTGAGCACTTTCAGTTTCCTTTGGAGCAGAAAGCATTCAACATTGCACAGAATTATTAAAATGTTCAGCATTGTAACTTTCTGAAATACCTTCCAAATGTGGAACTGCAGCACAGACAAGAGGGCTGGGCAAGGGGAAGATCGATTGTGGCAGATTATTACAGCTTTATTGTCACATAATTATAGTGCTCTACCCTAATCTTTAAATAGTGAATTTAGTTGTTGTAAATTGCTTATTGCCACAGGTGTCAAAACCAAAAAGCTTATAATACTAACCCCTTCAGAACTACCACCAACATGTAAAATACAGAAAAAGATTTTTAATTGTTTGTGATGGCTTCACTTGAATCCTTATTGTGACTCTTTTAAATTATAAAATCTGTATTAAACAGAAGCAAAAGGCCTATGTATCCAAGCTCTAGGACAGCTACGTGGCAATGGAAGGTCATCCTACTGCAGCAAATTGTAGTATTCCTGGCCATTTAAATTATCATGTAATGCACTTAAGTAACCCAACATTTTGTCCTGATCTGCAATTGAAGGAGTAACCAGAATATTCTTTTCCTTCAAGGCAGACTGAAATGGTATGGAAGTTTTACTGCAGACTTTTCTTTATGCCATAATGGTGATTTTGAAGAGGTTTGTTTAGTTTCAGTTAGAAGGTCCAAGGCCTGATTTTAGTGTACGAACTGTACTGCTGAATGGGAGATCAGCACCTCGGCCCCACGCCTGGGTTTCAGCTACACTTCTGGATGTCGCAGTGCCATTTGCATGGCAATATCAAACCAAACTCATATGGCTTGCTTCCTTCTTTTAATTAACTGGGAATGCCAGTGATCCAGTGAAGTTTGTGTTGCTGGATGAAAGGGCTGGTCTGTGAATAGCATTGTATTTGCCAAATGGTTCACTAGTCATTTCAGTACAAACAAATGGATGGTGTCTGTAAGTCTGCAAACACTGTTGACATTTAGCCTTGTTTATGTTACTTTCATTTTGCTGCATATTTTTGGCTAGAAAAGATACTGTCTGAATCAACATTGACTTCCTAAGCAGAAGCTAAGGACCCAATCTTGCATCCTTCATTCTGGATGAGCGGGACTACTTACATGACTAAGGATTGCAGAATCAGGTCCTATGTTTATTTGACTTTAAATTTAATTGCTATATTCATGTAATTTAATTTGATTGTATTTTGTTGTATCAGAAATTGGTCAGGTGATAAGTTTGATATCACCGTTTTGTTTACTGTTGAAAACTTTTATTTCTTACCATTTTTCATATTGCGGTGTAACATTCCCATACCGTTTATGTTGCTGGAAATTAACCCCTAAAATATCTGATACAGCTAAGTGCTGAGTACCTTCTATTCCCAGTGAAACTGGAAGCATTCAGTCCCTCCCAGCACCAGATCTGAAAGGGGGATTGTGTTTGCAAAAGGAGGCCTTGGTATGTGCCTTGATTTCAGACATCAGTGGCCAGCCGCACCAAGGCAAATCCCTAGCACAGAAAGGCTTTTCTTTTCTTTGCAGAGACAAAATAATGATGTAAGCTTAGAGCTGTATGATTTTAGTCTAAGTTTCATCTCCCAAACAATATGTTCTTATTGTTTTTGTCATATCCAGGTCAAATTTAAATTATCATTTAGGATTAGACAGAGGCATAGAGATGTTTCCAGGTCTTTCCAAAGTGAGACAATGCTCTGGTTTGTGTTTTGGTTCAGGAATATATATCCTTGTGTCTGAGGTATGGTATTTCCTATAACTACTCATAAACATGAACAATTTAGACATCCTTGTAAGTCAAAACTAAGTGTATGATTAATATCTATTATGAGGCCAATTTTAAACAATTAATTTGACAGCATTTATAATTTTATGTTACAGGCTTTCAGAAATAAATAACCAAATTCATCTTTGTAATCTAAGGAACTTAGGATATCTTTATGCAGAGATGATCTTGCTATGCACAGTATTGCATATCTGGAATTTCTGAGGTTTGCTCCCACCTACCTAGATATCTGTAGTACCAGGAATAAATAATTACCTGAGGCTTATTAATTGTTTCAGCAAAGAAAAAAATATATACCTTAAGTGTAAGCATTAATATATGTATACACAATACATCCACAATATATAACAAACCATCATAATAGTACAAAAATAGAGGTCCTGAATATGTTCTGTTATTTATGTGTTTGGCAAGCTTAGGGAATGGACTTTAGTATGAGTGAAAATTCTCTTAACATTTTTAAGGTTATTTATTGTCATTTCTATTTGAGTTTTTAATGGTCCTGTATTTTGTAATGCTTTAGCAGGAAAAAATACTGTAGTTATCTTTTTTCATATTCTTTAAGCAATATTTCTAGCTTAATATATTGTGCCAGGTTTTCCAATATTAACCAAGAAAGACAGTAAAATTCAATGAACAGCACTCTGACATCCACAATTTAAAACCTGTGATTGAAGTGAAATGTGTAAACTTCTAGTGGGTTATCATGTGCTTTGGAATAGAGTATTGTTGGAAGTAATTAGAAAATATATTAAGGTTTCCTGGTAATGAAGGTATGTAAGTTTTAATAATTGTTGCTTTCTGAATAAGTGTCAAACTATATCTTTAAATGTATATGGAGTTACAAGTTAGGTCACTTCTGAATGGAATGTAAAACAATACTAAAATGCTTCAATAACTTATCTCAGTGTTGCTAATAAAAAAAAAAGCTGTTAACCATTAGTGCAGTTTTGAGTCATTTTGTTAATTCATTCAAGAAAACTCTCTGAGAAACTGTTGTACCTTTTGGTAGACCAAAGACCACTCATGCAGTCCACAGTTGTTTGATGCTTTGAGAGGCAAACTCTGCAAAGCTACTTGTTGGCCTTGTAAAGGTTGTTTATAAAAAATGCAGTCTTCTAAGGAAGGAGTGGTTTGTCGTCAGAACAATGCCATGTATGGCTAGGCAGGTATATGAGGGGGGCATTAGACTTGTTTCCTTTGTCACAGAAAATATCTTGGGAATGTGGGACCTGTTTCTTCTCTGTCACTATTAAAATCCAGCAGAAAGTTTTGTGGAGGCCACTGGGTTAAAAATGAGTAATGTGGGATGCATTAAGTGTGTAAGTATTGGTGCCTGGGTGCTTGGCCAGGGTGAGCTACATATTTGGGTCCAGTCCTGCAGATGGAAATATAGCCTTAGTGAGTAATCGGTATACAACGTCTATCCCAGTGGAGAAATACCAGGAGTGATCTTTCTTGGTTAATCTTGCCTAGCCTTACATTAAGTCACAGTCTTCAGTACTGCAGTTAGCACTGAACTCTCGTTTTTGTTTCCCATGGAAAGAATGTGCGATAAGCGTCCTGACACTAGCCTCCTTCCTCAGACCCGTGTACAACTCACCCAAGATAAAGCAAGCGTAGGATAACAACCAACCAGTCACATCGGTCCTGGTAGTATCATTCAGGTCTATGGTAAGTGTTTCCAGGATGGGACCTGTACAGGCTGGCCGGTTGTTCCGTGCACCGCTGAGTATGCAATGGAAGCTAAAGGAAAACATGACTAGGGCTCCCAGTGTCACATCTTCATTAATGCTGTCAGTTTTGAATAGCATATTGGTACTTTTTTATTTATTCCACCAAAACACCATGAGTCAGGACCTGACATTTTAGTGTTCTATGTCATACTGAGAAAAATCTGTAGTTCAGCAGTAGGACAATTATATTATTTTGGAAGGGCTAGAAATAATACAGCATTTGTGAGACAACTGTAACATTTATCCAGACTCAGTGTGAGATTGTTCTTCCTTTTATTTGGAGAGTACTTCCAAAAAAGTATCAACTAGGAGCAAAGAAAAAAAAAGACAAGAAAAAGTGGCAATTATGAATCCATTTAACCCCCATAGGGTATAATCTCATGTTGTGCAATACCGCTGGCTGTTACATGCATAAACTTCTATGCAGTGAGCTGTGAATATAGTCCTTATTGTCCTGTGGGCAATATGACTAAGGAAAAAATACCTCTGTAATACAATGGAGCATTTGTCTGAATGGCGTAACCTAAGGTCCATAACGTCAAATCTAAAGTTGTAATTATACAGCTGCAGTCACACCACTCAAGTGAAGGCTGTGTCAGCACTTGTATTATATAAGAAATCCTGTTTTCAAGGGTTGATGAGTCATATGCAAAACCTATTTCTTACTGAATAATTGTTCTGGTTGTTGTGAAGCAATGTCTAGGTATGGGCCTTTCCTCAGTAGGACATGGTCATGTCTATTGCAGAAGACTTAACTTGGTAGTTTATTTTGCTAATGAATGTGTCTTTTCTG